TACATTCCCAACAGCACATCCTCACCAACACTTACTTTCTTTTCTTTTTTTTTCTTTTTTATTTATTTTTTTAAACCTTTTTTTTTAAAGATTTTATTTATTTATTTATTTGAGAGAGAGAATGAGATAGAGAGCATGAGAGGGGGGAGGGTCAGAGGGAGAAGCAGACTCCCCACTGAGCGGGGAGCCTGATGTGGGACTCAATCCCGGGACTCCAGGATCATGACCTGAGCCGAAGGCAGTCGCCCAACCAACGGAGCCACCCAGGCACCCTACTTTATTTTCTTTTAAATTAAATTCTCTCTATATATATATCCGTCCTAGGGGGTAGGAGGTGGAATCTAATTTTTTAAAATTTTTATTTATTGATTTGAGAAAGAGAGAAATAGAGAGGGAGAGAGGGAGAATCTCAAGCAGACTCCCCGCTGAGCGTGGAGCCGGATGTGAGGCTCAATCTCAAAGACCTGAGATCATGACCTGAGCCAAATCAGGAGTAGGAACGCTTAACCAATTGAGTCATCCAGGCGCCCTGTTGGTATCTCATTTTGTACATCCTATCTTGGGAGTCTGTTTTTAACACAAACTGTAGCATATTATACACACACTATACACTTGGCTTTCCCACTTAATATATTATGGAGATCATGTCAGCATGTACAAAACTGCTTATTCTTTGGGCTGGTGTTATGGTAACCCACCGCAGTAATGTGCAGTCGTGGTACTGGTCATTTACTTAACCAGTTCCTACTGATAGACTGCTCTGTTTCTTCCCAATCTTTTGTATTACAAACAGTGCTGTAACTGCCTCTATATACTCTGTTCTCCACATGCAGGAATTTGTCTGTAATGATCATTTCTCGAAGTGAAATTCTAGGTTAAAGGGCACATACATTCTTTTGTTTTTGTTTTGTTTTAAGATTTTATTTATTTATTTGATAGAGAGAGAGAGACAAGGAGAACACAGAGGGAGAGTGGGAGAGGAAGCAGCAGACTCCCCACTGAGCAGAGAGCCCGACGTGGGGCTCGATCCCAGGACCCTGGGATCATGACCTGAGCCGAAGGCAGACACTTAACCGACTGAGCCACCCAGGCGCCCCCATTCTTTTGTTTTTGTTTTTTTTTAGATTTTTATTTATTTATTGAGAGAGATAGTGATAGAGAGAGCGCATGAGAGGGGGAGCGTCAGAGGGAGAAGCAGACTCCCCGCTGAGCAGGGAGCCCAATGTGGGACTTGATCCCAGGACTCCAGGATCATGATCTGAGCCAAAGGCAGTCGCTTAAACAACTGAGCCACCCAGGCGCCCCCATTCTTTTGTTTTTATAGCTATAACTGAATTGATTCCATAGAGACTGTACCAATTTATACTCACCAGCATTGCAAAGACATGTCCTTTAAATGGACCCAGAATCATAAGATCAAATTTGTAAGGATATTTTCTTAGTGTGGTACTCCCGTGTGGGCTGACTGTAGAAGCACTTTTTTTGAGGGGCTTGGGATAAGGATATGGTTCATAAAGAGCTTTCCTTGATTAGCAGTTCCCCAGGAGGAGGTAGACCCTGAAGAGGGTTTGTCTTGGGGTCCTAGCTACCCTTCGGTGGAACAATGGGGATTCACTGAAGATGCTGGGTAAGATAATCATTTGTTCATATAGTTCTCCAATGAATAAATATTTATTGAAAGCCTACTATGTGGTGCTAGGTGCTAGAATGAAATGAAGACAAAATCAGACTAGATACTCCTTTCGCTGATGTTTTCAGGCTTTTGAGGGGGAAGCAGACATTAACGTAACTAAGTGTAAGGTAACTAATAGTGAGGGAAATGTATATCATGTATATTATGTCATTGCAGCCTGTAGCAAGGGTCTGAGGCTCAGCAAAGTGTTCCCAGAGGAAACATGTTTTTGTTTTGTACCGTATTTTTTTTTTAAGATTTTATTTCAGAGAGAGAGGGAGAGTATGTGTGAGAGAGAGAGAGCACACCTGAGCCACTCAGGCAGCCCAAAGAAGCATGTTTGAATTGAGATATGAAGGATGAGTAAAAGACTAGCTGAAGGGAAAAAGCATGGTTAACAAATAAAGTAGGGGGCGCCTGGGTGGCTCAGTTGGTCAAGCGACTGCCTTTGGCTCAGGTCATGATCCTGGAGTCCCGGGATCGAGTCCCACATCAGGCTCCCTGCTCAGCGGGGAGTCTGCTTCTCCCTCTAACCCTCTTCCCTCTCGTGCTCTCTATCCCTCATTCTCTCTCTCTCTCTCAAATAAATAAATAAAATTTAAAAAAAAAATAATAAATAAATAAATAAAAATAAACAAATAAAGTAGGGAGGGACTAATACCTACTATACATGGTTGCTAAGGGAATTCAGTTATACAGTATTATGTAAGGCATTTAGCAAAATGCTTGGCACGTGTCAGTTACTTGGTGAATGCTGACTTTGCTTCCAGTCTTCCATTCACTCATGGTGAATATGCTAAAATTCCAGATCCCCAAGCAGATCATTGTCACCCTAGCTACGCTCTTCGCTCTTCGTATTTCTCTCTCTCTACTTCTGGGCTCCCAAGCACTGCAGTCCATTCACAGTAGTCTGCCTTAGGAGCTAATTAGATTAGTAACCACCATTTATTTTGCCCTTAGTCTACACTAAGTACTTTGCATTCATTATTTAATCTTCATCACAGTCTTAGTAGGTTAGAACTTTTATTACTCCCATTTTAAATGGAAGAACTGAGGCAAGCAGAGCCCAAGGACAATAGCAAGCAAATCGCTGAGCAGGACTCATGCTCAGGTCTGACTAATTTCTAACCACTACTCCTACAGTGCCTTGGGTTCATAGTTATCTTTTGCAGGTCTTATTTATCCAACTAGATGACAACCTGATTTAGGATAAGAATTTGCCCCTGGCCGGGGGGTGCTGGCCGCTTCAGTTGGTAGAGCATGTGACTCTTTAGAGCCCCACATTGGGTTTAGAGATTACTTAAAAAAAAAAAAAACTGCCTCTAAACGGTTTAGTAAGACAATAGCCATTCCTTGTCAAGCATCCCCTATTTATTTACTTGTATATTATTTTCCCCGTTTTACAGATTAGGAAACTAAAGCTCAAATAGATTAACTTGGCCAAGGTGGTGGAAATGGGACAAGAATCCTGATTTAGATATGCCCAGTACCTACCCAAAGATGACAGCCAATAATCTTTGTACCTGATAGATGGGAAGTATAGGGCTATATTCACCCAAACCCTGGTTAATTTCAGCTGGCATGACATTTAGGCAATGACAGTGACTATGGGAGAGAGGGAATTGTTGGTGAGGTGCCCATCTCTTCCTTCTGGCTGTGTGAACATAATTTAGAGCTCACAATAAACGGAGTCCCAAGGGTTATTGCGGAATTCCTGGGTTCACTCGCCAAACATAGGTTATGAACAAAGCCCCCTTTTGGGAATTTTGTAGTCAATGACACAGATAATGTTAACACTCGTGTAATGTTTTCTATGTGCCAGGCACCATTCTTTGTGCTTTACAAGAATGAATTCATTTAATTTCCAGTTAAGGGCTGTTAGTATTCCATATAACATCTGAGGAAACTGAAGTACAGGAAGGTTAAAGGATTTGCCTAAAGCCCCTAACTAGCAAGTAGTGACCTTTGGGACATCTGGCAGATTCAGAGCTCTAGCATCTCCTGACAACAGTCCAAGAGTCACTGAGTCCAGCACAAAAACAGACAAAACGCTAATGTAAGGAAAGACCAAAAATTCCTGCGGAGTAAGTAGGCAAGTTAGTTTTTAAGTGCCTGCCTGCCGGCACGTCTCCATCCCCAATTTCTCCTTTCCCCACCCACTCCTACTGGAAAAGTAGACCGCGAGCCTGGAAAATAGAGGAAAGGTCGCCGTTGTGATTTGGCTCCTCCCATCCTGCTCGTTGCGTCCTTTTTCCGCAAAAGCGCAGAGCCTGTGCAAGCTTCCCGGTTCTTGCCCATCCAGCCCCGGTACTTGAGCGTGACACATGAAACCGCCAACCCTACAGCTCTGTGGACCTGTCTAGAGTCAGCGGCCCCGGCGCTTTGGTCCACTGCCCTCCTCCTCCCCAGGAGGAAAGCATGAAACCGCTGACAGCCTTCCGGCGTGGAGGTTCCTTCCCAGCGTCTCCCCAGGACTCTATTTTCTGAGATCCGCCATTGGCTGCTTTCACAGCAGACCGTCTACATTTCTCCGGTTTCACCGGGAGGGTTTGCGTAGTAAGACTTCCCAGCTCCCAGATCTGGGTATGAAGCTGGCTCCTCACCTCCTAGCTCTTTTGTTCGATCTGAAAGTATCTAAAAATCATCTAGTGGCCGCGTTTTAGGTGAGAAAACAGGCCCAGTGAGTACAAAGTCACTTGTCCGTGTGCAGTCAGGCACAGACGCCAGGGCCAGCTGGGTATTTCACCTTTTCTTACACATGACAAACTTTCGTAGAAAGCAGAACTTAGTACGATGTAACAGGGCCTCGCCATTCCAGTGACATCGAGGGCAAATTAAACCTCAGACTTGGAATGGGAGGGTGGGGGGCAGTGCCTAGAATCTTGGTACTCCTAGAAAGTGAAAGTCAGCTCTTCAGTCGCTGGAATTTAAATACTGGGGGTGGGGATCTGATGCCTTCTGGCAATCTGTGCTTTGTTGGAAGGTCTGGTGAAGAAGCCCTCTCTGCGGTCCCGCCTTCCTCTGACCTGAGGGCTTTTGGATTTGGACACTTCAGGTGTGTCTCCAATCTACTTGGTATGGGGGTAAATGTGCTGATTCCCTCCAGTTTCCTGCAGCAGAAAAAGGCAGTCTACGTTAACACATACGCTAGTCCTACTGCCGACCTCAGTGACTCAGAGGCCCAATGTGTGTACTTTCTGGGAACGGGTCAGACTGGGAGCACCGCGCCGGGCCAGACCTCGGACCGCCCCCGCCTGGGGGCGGGGCCGCGGACGTGCGTCAGGCCTGGTGCGTGCGGCCCGAGTGCGCGTGCGCGGCTCCGGGGCGGGGCCGGGGCTATAAGTGGGCGGCGTGGGCAACGTCGTTCTGCTCCTTTTTCACTAGGGCTCCGCCGTTACACGCAGAGAATCGTCTGGGCTGCGGTTTAGCACTAATCGGGAGCTGACTCTTCGGACTCCTGCACTATCCTCTCTGACAGTGAGCGGACCGCTCCTGGCCCTTCCTCCTGAAGGTGAGCAGCCCTGTGGGCTTCCCCGGCTTCCCGCCCCCATTGCCCCGCGGGCCGCCTCGGGTTCCCGAGCTCGGGCCGCGCCTCCCGGACTCCTGCTCCTCGCTCCGTCTCCACCTGGGTCCGGTGTCAGCCGCTCCAGCCCTGTTTTCAGGGATGACCATGTGGCCCTCCGCATGCTCCCTAGTGCTGGGTTGGGCGTCCCAGTCCTGCCTTCCCAGAACACCCTTTCTATCACAGCACTTGGCGTGTTGTGTGTGTGCTGCCTAATTTCTTGGCTAGATCGAAAGCCCCATGAGGGCAGGGTTCATATCTACCGGACCCCGTATGGCCCTAGTACCTTCCTGGGTGCCTAAGACGTCGTAGGTATTGTGGGTGTATTTGTTAAGTAAGTGAACTTGATAGATTTGACTGTCTTGGAATTATTTTGGCTTTATCAAAGAGTTCACGATTAACTGGAACCTGACTGAGATGTGAGGAGAACTTCTAGGCAGGTTGCTTTCTTAGGGGCACGTGCCTACCTTCCCCCCTCAAAAACAGAAAGACTCCGTTCAGGAAGGTTTTTGGTCCCTGGACTGTGGCACGGAGATTGTGCGTTGCACCTGGCAGAAGTAAAAGGTTTTACTTTAGAAGAAGTAAGTTTTAAGGAGTGCTCTTGAATTAGTCCAAGAAGCAAGACTAGCTCTGCAGCCATAGAGTTCACAGTGTAAATATGCTTCTACTGGTCCCTGTCTCCCTGACTGGCTGAGCCTCACCCTTAGTTCCATGGGAAGACAGAAGTCAGGACTAGATGCATGCATATCCCAAAAGGTCGTAGATTAATCTCACCTCTCTTTCCTCAGTATCCAGAGGCCTTCGAGAAGTGAAGACAGCTCTACTGCTCTACAGAGGAGTGGGGTCATTTCAGCCATGAAGCCTGTGTTGAACCTCTATCTCTTAGGTGTGGTGCTGACCCTGCTCTCCATCTTCGTTAGACTAATGGAGTCCCTGGGAGGCATACTGGAGAGCCCATTGCCTGGGAGCTCCTGGACCACCAGAGGTCAACCAGCCAGCACAGAGCCCCCGAGGGCATTCCAGACCATCCATCCAGAGGGGTGTGATAAGACCTCTCTCCACCAGCTATAATCTTGGAACACTGGCCTAAACACGTCCAGGCAGTTGTCCAGTTGCTGGGCATAAAAGCTCAGAACATCAGTGTTACCAGAACTGTTAACTAGGCTCCTGAAGGGCCTCTCCCATCTGGATGTTCCTTGCCCTGGAAAAAGAGCCTGTCTAATACACAGGTGTGAGTGGGTTGCCTATGACTGCAATGGAATGATGTCACTGCTCTCCCCAGGGTCAGCTGTACGCTCGGGTGTCCTTGGCAACATGGCTCTGATGCCTCTTAGATAGGGACTTGTGCTTCATATTCAGCTGTTGGGAGATGGTGTCGTTTTCATCTCTGCTTCGTCAGCATCTGCCAGGAGTTCCTTGGGGCTTGGGTGTCTTATGGTCAGTTTATGTGGTGGTCAGCTTCTCTCCCATGAGAGCTTGTCTGTGTGTGGACAATAGTTGAAGTGTGGTGTATGGGTTGGCTGTAGGGAGGGGAATGATGGTCAAGTGTCCACCTCTCATTGTTTCACATGGTAAAGTACTTTCTCCAACACAGCATGTATGCATGTATATTGATCTGAAGGGGGGCAGTGGGATGACAAAGCCTGCTCAAGAATGGCATGGCCACCATGTGGCTTAAATGAAATTTTCTAATAAAAATTGAATATATATTTCTAGTATGTGTCATATTGACCTCTGCCCCTGAAATTAGTGGTAGGGAAGGATCTTAATCCTAGATTTGGGGTTTGGCATCTTAAAAAACTCAGGAGCAGAAAAGTACTTAAAACACTTTGTTGTTTAAAACATCATGTAGGGGAACCTCGGTGGCTCAGTCTTAACTGACTGAATCTTGATATCAAGGTCGTGAGTTCAGGGCTCTCATTGGGCTCCACACTGGGCATACAACCTACTTAAAAAATAAATAAAAATAAAACAACGTAAATAAATCTGAATTTGGAGGCAAGGGCAGTTGGGTCTGCCCTGAATCCACCAGTTTTCTGAGCCTAGGCCAAGAATATTCTAGTGTCCTCTCTTGACTCTCCATCTCAAAAGAAAAATGATTTTCTTCTAGCACCCTTCAATGTCGGGGGAAAGAGGACTATCAGTGCAGTAGCCTTTGTTTTTTTCCTCTGTATTGCTCTTACCCATCAGAATGAGTGCTCAGTTTTGGTTGTTCTCCAGGTCAGCTAGTAAAATGTCCCACTTGACAGTTGTTTCTGCTCACTCTCAGATCTTTGTAGCTTGGCTTTTACACAGAAATGGAGGGTTTGGGCTTTTTCTTTTTCCTTGCCCGTATCCACTACTATTCCATCCCCTACTCCATGTTCAGGTGCATTCACTCCTCTGCCCATGGTAATGTATCCGTTCACACACTCTTGATGTGTGTCATTTTATGTATGGGGAACTTGATTTACTTTTGCCAAAGGGTACGAATGGTATGGTGCCTCTATGAAGCCACTTTTGCTTCCTGAGTTGTTCTTGAGCCTAAGTGCCACTACTCTAGAAGCCAATGGTTTGGGCATCACTTCTGTTTATTGCACTATGATGGTCACTAGTGCTGTTTAGCAAGTATTTCCAGCTTCCCACCTCCTGGGCATGTACAGTCCGGCTCCCCCATCCTCTGTGGATGGCGGGGGTTATGTGGCTCATCTCAGCACAGTACAATGAAAGATACAGTTGGCTTTTTATTTCTGATTTGAAGCACTTCGTGCCAGTAGCTATCCTAGAACATACTACTTAAATTCGATATGTTTTCTGACACCTTTGTGGTTGGACAAGGCCATGAATTAGTTCTATTAGTTCTGGCCAAGAGTTGTGAGTAGAAGTAACTTGTGTCAATTCTAGATTGGAACACCTAGATTCTAGATTGGAGCACTGGTTCAAAAACCTCCAAACCTTTAGCCTTCTTTTTCCCTCCGCTACAGTGACAAGCAATGCTCCAAATGGAACTCTAACCATTAATGTAGGTCTTGGAGTGAGGATGCCATGGAGTGGAACCCTTGACTGATCCCTGCTGAACATGTAGTGTAAATACGAAAGAAACCTCTGTTGTGTTAAGCTCCTGCAGCATCACTTGGCCTATTCTGACTGATGCATTGCCTTCAGCACCTACCGGCTACTGCACATTGACTTAAGATTTCATTACTACCTACCTCAGATAACATGGCATTAGTGTGTTGGGGGGGGGGACATGTAAACAAACCAGTAATGTTTCATGGTTCTGTGATAGAAACGTGTATAGGACATGGGTACGTAAAGTTATCTGCTGGCGGGAGGCAGATGGTAAAAGGAAAGCTTCCTAGAGGATCTGAATTTTAAGAAATGAACAGGTAACCACGTTCGGAAAGAGTTCCCTATTAGAGGGAACCTTGAGCAAGGATGTGGAGAGGAGCCCAAGTACAGCATGTTTAGAAAGCTGCAAGTACAAACCTTAAATCCCGGTTACTAGCTTGAGGCCTTAGCTCTAGCGCCATCTAGTGGAGTCTAAGGAAGAAGGAAACACTAACTGGGCGGTTGTAATGCTTTCCAGATTTGAAGGGCCCTGCCTTTAAAGCTTATAATAGATACCAGATTATTAAGGACTGGAAGATTTGATCTAGTCTTACCACCGTCCAATAAAAATATAATGCGAGCCACATATGTAATTTAAATCTTTTCTAATGGTTACATTAAAAAGAAACAGGAAAAGATATTTTAAACACCTTTAACTCAATTTACTAAAAATATTTCTACATGTAATCAACCTAAGAAGTTATTTATGAGATATATAGATATTTTACATTTTTTGGTACTAAGTATTTATTTGTATTGGCATTTTACACTTAGAACATATCTCATTTGGATTAGCCGCATTTCAGGTGCCTCAGTAGCCCTGTGGCTAGTGGCTACTGTATTGGACAGCATAGATCTTTTCATTTTACTACAGAGGAAACAGAAGGAAACTCAGTAACTTAGACAATATCATTTTCTAGATCTCACTAACTATACGTTTCTCAATTTTTACAAATTAAACTGTTAAAAAATTTTTAAGTTTAAAAAAATTAAATTAAAAAAATAAAATAAATTTAACTTCAGAAGTAGGTTGTTTAATTTCCAAATCCCTTGATACTTTCCAAATATTTTCCTTTCATTGATTTCATTGCTCCTAATTTCATTGATTATGGTCAGGGGACATACCCTGTATAATTTTAATTAGTGGAAATTTATTGAGACTTGTTTTAATGGCTCAGCACATGGTATATCTTAGTGAATGTTCAATGTGCACTTGAAGAGAATGTGGATTCTGTGGGTTCTGAGTGTTCTGTGTTTTACAGAAAAGTGTACAAAATATTTTTTATAGAAAGTATGCAAAATACAAAAAAATTTTACAAAAACTACATAGAGTGGGGCACATGGGTGGCTCAGTTGCTTGAGCATCTGACTCTTGATTTTGGCTCAGGTCATGATCTCTGGATCATGAGATCGAGCCCTGTGTTGGGCTTTGTGCTGAGCAAGGAGCCTGCTTAAGATTCTCTCTCCCTCTGCTCCTCTCCCCACAGCTTGCGTGCACGCTCTTTTCAAAAAAAAAAAAAAATTACATACATTTAGTTCGTAGTTATTAAGTCTTCTGTATCCTTATTAATTTCCTATTTACTTGTTCTATGAATTTCCGAGAGAGAAAGGATAAGATATCCAACTCTGTCTATTTTTCCTTTGTTTCATCAGTTTTTATTTCATGTTTTTTGAAACTCTGTTATTGAAGAAAACATATACATTTAGGATTGTTATGTCTTCTTAAATTGACCTCCTTATCTTTTAAAAATGTCCCTCTTTGGGGGAGAGAAATCATAAGAGACTCTTAATCATAGGAAACAAACTGAGGGTTGCTGGAGGGGAGGAGGTGGGGCAATGGGGTAACTGGGTGACGGGCATTAAGGAGGGCACACGATGTAATGAGCACTGGGTGTTAAATACAACTGATGAATCACTGAATGCTACCTCTGAAACTAATAATACACTCTATGTTAATTAATTGAATTTAAAAAGTGTCCCTCTTTGGGATGCTTGGGTGGCTCAGTCAGTTCAGTGTCCCAATTCTTGATTTCAGTTCTGGTCGCGACCTTAGGGTCTTGGGATCGAGCCCCACATAGGTCCCTGAGCTCAGCGTGGAATCTGCTTAAGGTTTTCTCTCTCCCAGGGAGCCGGGGTGGCTCAGTCAGTTGGGCATCTGCCTTCAGCTCAGATCATGATCCTGGGGTCCTGGGGTAGAGCCCCAAATCAGGCTCTCTGCTCAGTGGGGAGCCTGCTTCTCCCTCTCCCTCTGCCTGCTGCTCTGCCTGCTTTGCTTGCTCTCTCTCTCTCTGTCAAATCTTAAAAAAAAAAAAAAAGATTTTCTCTCTCCCTCTGCTCCTCCCCCCACTTGGATGCACACACTCTCTTTCTCTCTCAAAATAAATAATAAATAGTAATAAATAGTCTTTAGAAAAAAATGTACTTCTTCATCACTTGTATTATTCCTTGCCATGAAGTCTTCTTTGTATGATATTAATATAGCCACTCTAGCTGACTTATGATTGGTGGCTGCAAAGTTTATCTTACTCTGTCTTTTTAACTTATGCGTCTCTATATATTGTGGATTTCTTGTAGATAGCATATAGTTGTGCCTTGCTTTTTATACATGTTGGCAACATTTCATTTTTAATTGGACTGTTTAGGCCATTTATATTTAGTGTAATTATAAGGTTGGGTTTAAATCTTCTCTATCTTGTTATTTTCTGTTTCCCATCTGTTCGTTGTTCCATTTTTCTTCTTACCTTCTTTGGATTAATTGTGAAGTTTTCAGTGTTCTATTTCATCTTCACTATTGCTTTATTAGCTATATATCTCTGTTTAAAAAAAATTTTTTTTAAGATTTTATTTATTTGACAGAGTTAGCGAGAGCAGGAACACAAGCAGGGGGAGTGGGAGAGGGAGAAGCAGGCCTCCTGCCGAGCAGGCAGACGCTTAAAGGCTGAACCACCCAGGCGCCCCCTCTGTTTAATTTTTTTAATGGTTCCTCTACTCTAGGATTTACAATAGACATCTTTTAACTTACTACAGTCTAACTTCGAATAGTATTTTACCACCTCGTGTATAATGTAAGAGCCTTGCAATACTACACCTTATTTTCCCCTCTCATCCTCTGTGCCATTCTTGTCATATATTTTACTTATACATATGTTCTAAACCTAATGTTACCTATTACATTGTTAAAATTTTTAAATAGTCAATTGTTAAAGAACTTTAAAAATTATATGTATACATATTTAACATTTTTACTTATGTATTTACAATTTCTAGTAGTTACTTACTGTTTGTGTAGATGTAGGTTTATAGTTTTTACTATTATTTGGAAATCTTCCAGCCCTTATTTCTTCAAATGTATATCTTTGACTCAAGAAGTAAACAGTATGTCCAATACAACCCTGACCACATGTTCACAGCTTTGGACAGACCACTTTTAGAGCTAATAATGATCCTTCCAAAAGTTTATCTTGTACATAGTTACTTCTCAGCAAATATCTGTAGAGCCATATGTAGGCAATTTCTTTCACACTTTTTATTTTAAAATTCATTTAAAAGAAATACAGTTCATGGTAAATAATTTAAACAGTACAAAAAGTATACTGTGAAAAATAAGTCCTTTTTCACCACCATTACCAATGCCCTACCCCTCCTCGGGCAACCACATTTTTATCCTTCCAGAAATTTTCTGGGCATATTCAAGCATATATGAGTATATATTCTTTTTTAATATACTTTTTATCCAAGTGATAGCAATTTATATATACCGTTCTTCATCTTTTTCTAACTTTATAGGTCTCAGTAATCATTCCATATCAGTATATATAAAGTTGCCTTATTCCTTTAATGGCTGCAAAACATTACATCGTATGGAAGTTTCATAGATTAACTGGTGCTCTACTGATGGACATTAACCTTTTACAAGGGAAGGAGAAAAAATGTCAAGAACAGAGAGTACTGGGACACCTGGGTGGCTCAGTAAAGTGTCTGCCTTTGGCTCAGGTCATGACCTGGGGTCCTGGGATCGAGTCCCGCATCTGGCTTCTTGCTTGGTGGTGGGCCTGCTTCTCCCTCTGTCTGCCGCCGCCTCTGCTTGTGTGCTCTCTCTCTCTCTCTCTGACAAATAAAAATCTTAAAAAAAAAAAAGTACTGTGATAAAGGAAAAATAATGACCTTGAAGATTGTTTGAATATTTGAATTTCCAGTATTATAGATTTTCTATCAATAAAAAATAAAAGTTTTCTAATGATCAAGTCTTAAGAAATTAGCCAAGGGGCGCCTGGGTGGCTCAGTTGGTTAAGAGACTGCCTTCGGCTCAGGTCATGATCCTGGAGTCCTGGGATCGAGTCCCGCATCGGGCTCCCTGCTCACCAGGGAGTCTGCTTCTCCCTCTGACCTTCCCCCATCTTGTGCTCTCTCTCACTCTCTCTTCTCAAATAAATAAATAAATAAAATATTAAAAAAATATATTAAAAAAAGAAGAAATTAGCCACTAAGTTGTAAACTTCTGCCTCTGATGTAACAGCTTTGGAAAAAACACCAGTGAGAAGCAGGCCTCCCACCTCATGTTAAGAGAAGCACCAGGAAATTTAACCCCAGTCACGGGAGGATTGCACTAGTGTGTGTCTTGAGAGTTTAAAAGACATGGGGGAACTGACTTACCTTCTTGGCTTGCTTCTTGTATAAACACCAAAGTGAAAGAGCCTGGTAGCTGTCCAGTCAGAGAGGGATAACTATTATCTCACCGCTCCTCCACTTCATGCAACCTGAAGAAATCTTTGAGTGGATGTTTCTTGTCCTGGTACCAAAAACAGAAGATTGCAAGGGGAGGGAAGGAGTTGGTGCCACTACAATGCTATACTAGTAAATGTTTGACACCAGCTCTCTGAGGGGGAATATATATAATATATAATAAATCATACATAATACACACATTATATATAATTACTATATATATAGTATATATATTAGAATTCAATATTATGTACTATAATTAGTAATTAAAAATTTTCTATATTATAGAATTATATGTAATATATACACACAGACATATACATATATGTACATATATGCGTTATATATGTTTTCTCTAAAATTTTACTGACATTGGGGCGTGTGGGTGGCTTGGTCTCTTGGGCGTCTGAGTCTTGATTTCAGCTCAGGTTGTGATCTCAGGGCCGTGGGATCAAGTCCCACGTCAGACCCTGTGCTCAGCACGGAGTATGCTTGTCCCTCTCCCTCTGCTCCTCACCCCACTTGCTCGCTCTATCTCTAAAATAAATAAAATCTTAAAAAAAAATTGACTGGCATAATGTATAGCACACAATTTACAACTAACAATAAAATACACAGTACTCTTGTCCATTTCATCTGGCCAGTTGATTCTCACAAATCTTTCACTGATTTTTGTCAACCTCTTGTATTCCTAGCCAACCTACGCAACTGACAAAGTGTAGTTCTGACATGAATGTTGGCTGATTTTCCCACTTACATTAATAAGAAGAAAGAGAACTAAGCAAGTTCTATGTTGGAACTTTACATGTTCAACAGGGACTTCAGCAACTTCTTTGCTAAATCAGATAACTTTCAATATACTGGGAGACACCTCAGATATTTTTGTGCCTCCATACAACAGCTACAGTCACACTTTTTTTTTTTTAAAGATTTTATTTATTTATTTGACAGAGAGATACAGAGCACAAGCAGGGGGAGCGGCAGGCAGAGGGAGAAGCAGGCTCCCTGCTGAGCAGGGAGCCCGATGTGGGACTCGATCCCAGGATCCTGGGATCATGACCTGAGCCAAAGGCAGCCGCTTAACCGATTGAGCCACCCAGGCGTCCCTACAGACACACTTTTAAGTTTACTGCATCATTAACATTTTCTCTATAGCTTTAGACAGCCAACAAAACAATAAATCAAGGCGTGATGAGTAGCATTTACCGGCTCCATGATGTAAATAACTCTCAACGCGGCTGGTTTGAAGGCAGTGACCGACAGGAAGTTCCTGAACGCATGCTGAGAAGAGATAGGCAGTCGCAGTGCTCCATTATATAGTATTTCTACCATGTAAGGACAATAGATGTAAATAACCTCTAGAGAGTAGTAATTAAGAAGATGAGTTTGGACCATTACCTTGCTTTTGTATAATTTATTTAAGTTTAAATAAGTTATATAAGTTGATATAATTTTATATAATTAAATTTTCAATAATGGCTGTGTTTATATAATTAAATTTTTTGTATAGTTTATATAATTAAATTTTTAATAATGGCTGTGTTTAACAACTGCCCTGTAAAATTCCTGAACATTTTACAGTTTTCACAATCTCTTTTGCGCTGGCTCTGGCATACCGCTGGGCCACACATCCTCATTTGCCCACTGTTTCCAAATAAATAAGCCTCTTGGTTTAAAAAAAAAAAAAAATTCTCATTTATCCCATGAAATGGGGTAGGAAAGATTGGGGTGAATTGCTTGCCTCTGTCCTGAGCTCCTCTGGCCAGGTGAGGGGCTGACTTTAGGTGATCAGTTCGCTCAGAGAAAGTTTTTGTGAGGGGCTTCCCCGTGGGGGGAGAGGATTGAAGGCTATGGGCTTCCTGAGAGCCTGCCTTGCTGCTCTGGCCAGCTCACTGCTCTCTTGGCATAACCATGGGGCAGTCATTTTCCTCATGGCTACAGAGAGATTGAGGGAAAATGGACTAAGACTACATTATTGCTAGTGTGTAGTGCATAGGAAAGGGGAGAAAAGAAGCCCTGCTCACCCCCAATCCTTCCTTGACTTTTCTATTTTTCCCTTCCTGTTGTTAGCCATCCCATTCGTTGAGGTCATGCCTGCCATTGTGAGCCGACAGGCCCTCCCTGGCCTGGTGGACAGCCTGTAAGTCAGTAGGGGAGGTGGAGATGTGGAGGTGGGGGGGAGTAGTGGTCACACCAACACCTCGGAATTGGGCTGGGTCTGCGTGGAGCCCCAGAGATGGTCCCCAGCCCGTTTGTCCCAAGAACCAATGAGTAAAATTAGGGGCCTCCCACCAGAGGTCAGGGAACCAGGCCCTGGAGTGGAACTTGGGGTGGAAGATGGCCTTCTTTGTCAACTGATTCATTCTCCAGAATTCAACTTGTTCTCCGACTCGGTGGTGTTTGAAAGCAACTTTATCCAGGTACCCGCGTGGCAGCTCAGAGCCCGCCGCTCCCTTTCCCTTTGCAAAACTTGCTCCCGAGGGTTGATCCAAAAATGCTGTGGCCTCTGAAAGTTCTGGGAGGAGAAGGAAGCTGCTATGGCTAGAGACAACCAGACGGTCCGGATCCCAAGTTCAGCTCAGTTTGTGCCTAAGGCCTCGTGGGGTTCCCCACAGGTCATACGCTTTCAGGAAACAGAATTACACACTGCAAAAGGGCACATCAGAGCTCAATCTCTATGCAGTGTCCATAGGCACCCCTCCCAGGGCCACTAGGGAGGGGATGGTGGGTTAGAGGGAATGAAGGTTGCTGTCAGAATCCCTGCTCTGACATCCAAACTCTTCTCTCTGGGATGCTTTAGAAATAGCCTTGTTTGAGAGCCAAGTCCCTAGAATTGCCTTGCCCAGATTCTACATCCCCTAAAGGGTGGTGGTACGGCCAATGGAAGTGAGCATTTTTGGCCTGGGAAACATGGGACCATGGAGAGTATGGGGCGGTCATTTTAACATAGCTTGGGATATGTGGCTGGCTCAGTCGGTGGAGCATGAGACTCTTTGTCTTGGGGTTGTGAGTTCAAGCCCCACATTGGGGGTAGATTTTACTTAAAAAATAAAAAAATGGCATCTTATTGAGGGTCTGCCCGCCTCCCTCTAGAGGTCTAGCTGGCCCTCCCGTGCTCCTCTGCAGATGTGGCAGAACCAGCTCCTCAGTCGGCAAGCTGTGTGCTGCGTGCGGGGCAGGAGATGTAGAGAGATCCAATAGTGTCCCTGCCAAGGAGCTTATGACTTTGTCAATTTAAAGGGTGTGTTATAAAATGGTAACTGCTAAGAAAGCTCTGTCAGATGGTTTGGACCAGCTGATCCCTAAAGCATGAGCAGAGAGAGGGGGTGCCAGTGTTTAGGGGGTTCAGAACACTCTTGGAACTTAGGCAGTTGAAGAAGGCTCCCCAGAAGAGGGGGGTTAAGTCATTCTTTGAGGTATCGCTGTGACTTTGGTAAGTGGAAGAGCGGGGGGAGGACATTCCAGGCCAAGGGACTTCAAGTCCCAGGGCGAAGGCAGGAGGCTGAAGTGCACAGGGAGGGTCTGCAGTCAGGAATCCCTGTGATGGAGTCACAAAGCAGCGAGGACTTACAGGAGAGAGTGGAGACAATCTGAGCTTGATTTGGAGATGCCTTCACACAACAGTGAGCTACTCCCTGACAAAGTCCCTCAGATTTCAGCCAGTGAGTTCATGGCTCCGGGCGCTCCCTGGTTTCTGCGCTGCCCCAGGGCTCTGTGGAGTGGGGCCATCAGCCGGCCACCTGGGGGCATGCTCCTTCCTAACACAGTCTCGGTGGAGAAGGAGCAGTGACGTGGGAAATCCAGATTCCAAATTCCAGTCATTTCTATTGGGGTGTGATGTTTTGGCAGGAGGTTTATTCTCTGAATATGTTCTCTTTGACCTGAAATTAAAAGATTCTCTGGGTGGACACGTAGTGACTCAGGCAGCAGGAAACTCAGACCGTACCAGGGAGGGGGAAAGCCTGCCTGCCGAAGCTGCCCCATGGGGGAGTTAAACGTTTACCTGAGGGGCACCTGGGTGGTGCCGTCGGTTGAGCATCCAATTCTCGGTTTCTGCTCTGGCCGTGATCTCAGGGTCATGGAATCGAGCTCAGCCCTGGCTCTGCGCTCAGCACAGAGTCTGCTTGAGATTCTCTCTCCCTCTCCCTCTGCCCCACCCACTCACGCTCCCTCTCTCTCAAATAGATAAATCTTTAAAAAAGTTTACTTGAAAGGATCCAACCCACACAGTTAGGTGATTCCCTTTCTCCCCACTCCTCAGAATCTCTGCCGTCACCTCTAAGAAACATCACCCACAAACGTTTATGTATCACTTACTCAATCTATGCAGCCCCCCGTGTTTTATGATACATAAGAATCTCATTCTGCAACATGGGCTCCAAGAAATGTTTTTTTTTTCCCTTCAAAATAAAAACTCACTTTTCTAGGAGCACCTTCTAGTCAGCTTGGTGAGAACTTAAATTTCAGTCCTTCCTGGGGCTTTCCCTTGTCCCCAGTTCCACCAGGGCTGTGAAATGGTTCTGATGGTCCTACAAAGTCTAGAACACTGGGAGAAGTCCCTCTCGTCTTGGGAACATAGGGGTCCCCCCTCAAATGTCCTTACCCTGGCCCCTGTGGTTCCTTGGAGGCTTCTCTGCCTGCCCTGGACAGTGAGGTGGGGTGTCTTAGCTGAAACTAGTACCGAGCATCCAGTCTCCCTGTCCTGCCCCAGCCTCAGATGTTGCAAGAGAACAGGTTCTTATTTCACTTAAGATCCAGCAACAAGCAGGGCCCTCCCTCACCTTGCAGAAAGCTCCCCAAACCTTCCTCACATTGGGCTGCTTGGGTCTTCCCCATTCAACAGCTCTTTCCTCCCTCTCTTCCTCTTCTGGAACTTTCTTTACATAATCTCCCTTCCAGATCATTGGAAGCCTTGCTGGCTTCTTCTACCCAAGGATGGAGGAATAAAATTTTAATGCCTTTCAGCTTTTTCTTACTAATGCATCTTTTTATTTATTTATTTATTTATTTATTTATTTATTAAAGATTTTATTTATTTGACAGAGAGAGACATAGCGAGAGAAGGAACACAAGCAGGGGGAGTGGGAGAGGGAGAAGCAGGCTTCCGCTGAGCAGGGAGCCCGATGTGGGGCTCGATCCCAGGACCTGGGGATCATGACCTGAGCCAAAGGCAGATGCTTAACAACTGAGCCACCCAGATGCCCCTAATGCATCTTTTTAAAGTTAGATAATGCACAGGCACCCAGTTGGCTCAGTTGGTTAAGCATCCAACTCTTGATCTGGGCTCAAGTCATGATCTCAGGGTCATGAGATGGAGCCCCACATAGGGCTCCCCACTCTGCGCAGGAGTCTGCTTGTCCATCTTCCTCCCCCTGCCCATCCCCCACTCTCTCTGTCCCCATCTCAAATAAAATAAATAAGTAAGTAAATAAATAAATAAATAAAATCTTTAAAGCTAGATAATGCAGAGGACACAAAGAAGGGCAACACAGTTTCCTGTTACCAGTGAGCTGGTCTGTTTGGGGAGACCCACAGAAAGGATGGATGCTGGTCATGGCCCAGCCCAGTGTGCCACACACCTTCGAGAAGCACGGGTGCTCCAAGCATGTCACCAAGTTCAAGTGCTGCTTCCTAGCCCCTCTATTCTTGCACCCTTGTCTTCCGCTTCTCTCTGACCCATGTACCTGGGGCCGATTTCTAGGTCACTAAGCCCGGAAGCTGGATGGATGTCTATGAAGGGTCTCCCACTGTGATCCTCGGGGTGACCTCCTCGGTGCCCTCCTTGCCACTCCCCAACGTCCTCCTGATGGCCAACGTCACCGGGCCCCAGGGTCAGTTTTCCTCCTGGACCACACCTAACTGTGCTCCCGTGGTCACTCTCAGCAGGTAAAGAAAGGCCGGGGGGAGGGGCCAGAAGGGGCCAGAAGACCACATTCTTTTGCAGCTGGATTTTAGATAAAAGAAAGGACAGTGCGTTCATGTATAAACTATGTAGAATTCACTCATTAATTTAACAAGCATTTCTTTAGTGTCTGGGTGTACCAGGCACTGTGCTTGGTGCTGTGGGTATAGAGCGCGCATCCCTGTCTCAGCCTGGTCTTGAAGGATCTTGGCTTCCATTTGTTTATTTATTTGTTTGCTTATTTATTTATTTATTTTGATTTATTTACATTGACTTATTGATTTATTTAATATTTATTTATATTGATTTATTTATACATATTCTTTACTTATATTTTTATTTATATATTTACATTGTCTTCAGTTATATTTATAGACATATAAATTTATTTACATTTATAGACTTAGGGGTTCCCCCCCAAAAAAGGTGAGGAGTATGAAAGTCAGATGGGATTATGGAGTGTTAAGATTTTTTTTTTTTTAAGATTTTATTTATTTATTTGAGAGAGAGAGAATGAGAGACAGAGAGCATGAGAGGGAGGAGAGTCAGAGGGAGAAGCAGACTCCCTGCTCAGCAGGGAGCCCGATGTGGGACTCGATCCCGGGACTCCAGGATCATGACCTGAGCCGAAGGCAGTCGCTTAACCAACTGAGCCACCCAGGCGCCCCAGAGTGTTAAGATTTAAAAAAAAATAAATAATACCAGATGTATAGGACATCCATCCTTCTTAACTCTGTCAACACAGTTAACTAGGATATAGGGAGAAGATCTGGAAATGGAGTCAGAACACCTCAGTTCCAGGTCCTACTTACGCAGATCTAAACTTGGGCAAATCAGTTAGCTGTTCTGACCCTCAGTTTCAACAACTGTAAAATGGAATTAATATCTTTCATCAAAGGGTTGTTGTGAGGATTGAATGAGATGTTACACATCGATTATCTGCCATTATTATTGATGTGGGCAGGTTCTTTAGTGACGAAGGCTCTGAAAGTCAGAGAAGAGTCGGTCTTAGCAATTCTTCCCACTCCAGGGCCACGAGCGTCCTCCTGGGGCATCCCCCAGGCAGCGGTGGGAGCCTAGTGAGGTTGGGCCAAGCACTAGGTGGGCACAGCATGGTTGATTGAACCGGTGAGCTCCTCACTATGGGAATTTCCTGATTGTGTCTAGGATTCTCCCCCTGAAGTTTGTGGAGCTACAAATCTATGACCGGCTCCAACGCATCCTGCGGGTTAGGACAGTGACTGAAAAGATCTACTACCTGAGGCTCCACGAAAAACACCCAGAAGCTGTGTTTCAGTTCTGGATCCGCTTGGTGAAAATTCTGCAGAAAGGTCTGTCCATCACCACCAAAGACCCGAGAATCCAATTCACTCACTGCCTGGTGCCCAAAATGTCCAACAGCTGCACTAGAACAACAGTAAGTGGGGCCTCCCACCAAGACCTGCTGGGGTGAGGAGGGATGGGGAGCACAGCACCTCAGAACACTGCTGGATAATAAAGTCTAGCATTGTAGGGGCAGGCTTCATTTTCAAGGGCCAACAACACACACACACCAAACTGAGGTCTACAAACATAAAAAGCAAATTCATTTACTTTTCCTAAAAAAGAGCTATAAAGTGCTTAGCTCACTTAAAAATTGCTTTCTGTTGTTTTTATCACCCCAGTATCTAAAAGAATAATGTTCACTGAAGAAAATTAGAAAATTACAGAAAAATCGCTCCCACTTCTCTTCAACCCCAAGCAATCACTTGGAACATTCTGGCATATTTCCTTCCAGTCTTCCGTTTTATTTATTTTCTTTTTTTGTTTGATCTTTATTAGGTTTTGGCATTAAAGTTATGCTGTCTTCTCCATATCAACTGAAGAATTTTGCATGTGCTTTCGCACTGTTGAGTATTTTAAAACTTTGAAAACATTTATTCTGTAAAGGTTAGAGGCTAGATTAAACTTGCTAGGAGTCCATCTAATCCAGGTATTTATTTATTTATTATTTTTTCTTTCTCCAAGCTTTTATTTAAATTCCAGTTAGTTAGCATATAGTGTAACACTAGTCTCAGGTGTAGAATTTATGATTCATCATATACCTACAACACCGGGTGCTCATCACAAGTGTCCTCCTTAATCCCCATCATCTTTTAAATCATCCCCGCCCCCCCACCTCCCCTCCAGCAGCCCTCAGTTTGTTCTCTATAGTTAAGAGTCTGTTTCCTGGTTTTCCTTTCTTTTTTTTTCCCCCATGTTCATTCGTTTTCTTAACAGTTCCATTTAAAATTAATTTTTAATTATATATTTGAGGATATTAAATATATAATATGTTTCTGAATGTTGCTGTTTTTTCAACTTAGATTATATCAGAGGCATTTTCCCATTTCTTTTTAAAGTTCTTTACACACATCATTTTGATAATTCCATGCTGTTCAGTAGTTGTATGAATGCATTAAAATTCACATCGCCATTCTCCTATTATCAGCCATTTAGAGTTGTTTCTAACTTTTCATTACTGTAAGCGATTCGAAAACAAGCATTGATGTGTATGGTCCACATTTCTGATTGTTTTCTCAGGATAGATTATTAGAAGCAGGATTCAAAGGGTATGAACATTTTTAAGGCTCTTTATACATATGGCCAGATTATTTCCAGGAAGCTCATGCCAAAGTATACTCTCTCCAGTGAGTGTCTGTGTCACTGTATCATTATCACAACTGAGAAGTACACATTTTAATAAATGGTCTAATATGATAGGTAAAAAAAGTAGCAGCTCTTTGATTTTCAGTGAGCTTGAACATTGTTATATAAATATTTCTTTTTGCATTGTCTATTGTGTTCTTTGGCTGCTTTTCTATTGGCAGCTTTGTGTTTTTCTAAATTGATTTGTAAAATAAAGCTTTTTATACATCAAGAATTTTAACCCCTTAATCACAAGTTTCTGCAAGGATTTGCTTTTCCCTTTCAGTTTATTTGAGGCTCCTGCCCACCCCCATGCCTTTTGACACACAGAAGGCTTGTCCCGGACCTGCTTAGGGTAGACGCACAGAAAAAGCTTGATCGGCTGGATTGCCTAACACCTTCAGGTTTCAGAATCTATTTTAAGATTTTATTTGACAGAGAGAGAGGGAACACAAGCAGGGGGAGTGGGAGAGGGAGAAGCAGGCTTCCCGCGGAGCAGGGAGCCTGATGCGGCGCTCGATCCCAGGACCCTGGGATCATGCCCTGAGCCGAAGGTAGCCACTTAACCAACTGAGCCACCCAGGAGCCCCAAGGTTTCAGAATCTAAACACTTTCCTCCTCTCATTTTAGTTGCAGGCTTTAGTTATGCTCTCACTAACTTCCAAAGTCAGCCTGACAGCTCTGCTGGCCGGGTTTCTAAATGTTCCCGAGCAGTAGCCATAGCAGCCCATCAGAGAGGGGAGGAGGCGATCCTGCCAGGAGCCCAATGTGGTCTGATGATCCTGGAGCTTAATGCTTAAGGAAGAGGTGCCCGGGTGTAGGCTGGAAGATTCAAGTGAGTTCCTTCAAAGTTCTGGCCCAAAGGGGCCACAAACTCTCAGAGTGCAGACCTGGTCCTCTGACTGTAAATTTCTCCACCCAGCCTGAAAGCAGCCTCTCATCATCCACTCAGCCCAGCGAAAACTTCATGCTGTTGGTGGCCGAGCAGACCAGTGACAGTTTCTCAAATATCTCAGGAAGACCCCAGCTCACAGCAGACAGGTGGGTCCTCCAGGAAAGCACCTGCAACATCCTTTCCTGCAGCACTGAGCCGTGGGTGGGGTCAGTGACACCCTCCGCCAAACTAGCTCAGTTCCTTCTTTTTATTCTAGACAATTATGCGTACAGCTTCTCCCCTCAGTTTTATGATAAGCCTGTCCTTGAAAACAGGGTCTGTGGCTGATTGGTCTGAATATTTCCTAGGCAAACTGCAGTGCTTTCATAGACAGTGTTCAATAAAAGGAATGAGGGATGAGTAAATTAATTCAAAGAAGGGTAAGCTAATAAAGCAGGCTCAGGGAGTTAGATATTGACTATCTCCAGTCCCAGCTCACCAGGGTCCCCTGGGTGAGACAATTCTGAATTCTCTTTACCTCACTTATCTGTTCTGTAAAATGGACAGAATAGACAGTAACCCAAAGCGGAAATGGCTCCAACACCATTTGCTAAGTAATTGTATGGGACTCTGTGCAACAAGGGATGGAAAACAAAAGCAAATCATGCAACCAATACGTTGAACAAGTACAAATCGAAGGATATCGTCAAAATGTAAATTTATTTTTGTCTTCCCTTTATATTTTTTTCGGTGGGAGAAGCTTTCTTCTTGCCCTGAGGTAAAAGCTGGTTCTCTGACAGGCCCCATAAGCATATGGGCTCCCCCTTAAAATATGAAAGATCCTTTCGTCCCTTTAAATTGCAAAAGCAGCATCGATTCTGAAATTAAAATGTCTGGTGCCTGATAATTATCAAAACTCTGAACTGTGCACAGCTTCCCTCAACCTGGCCTCGTGTTCAGATGGTCCTCCATAGTGGGGACTGGGTTGTCACTCCTCTTGTTCTGTTTCCTAATTTTAAAGCTCACTTTTTCTCTTATGAGCTTTCTTGGGTTCTTTGGAGTCCCATACTTGACACCCCCCACCCCCACCCCTACCCCTCACTGCAACTCTGGTGATGCTCCGACGTCTTCCTTCCTTTCTTTTTTTTTTTTTTTTTAAAGATTTTATTTATTTGAGAGAGAGAGAATGAGAGAGAGAGAAAGCACATAAGGGGGGGGAGGGTCAGAGGGAGAAGCAGGCTCCCTGCCGAGCAGGGATGCTGATGCGGGACTCGATCCCAGGACTCCAGGATCATGACCTGAGCCGAAGGCAGTCGCTTCACCATCTGAGCCACCCAGGCGCCCCCGACGCCTTCCTTTCATCTGGCCACCACCCCCCTCAGGCTCTGGCTCTGCGGGCATCCACGCCACCCAGGCACTAGCTGTGATTGCCTTTTAAGGGAGTCCTCTTAGGCAGGGCTTATTTTAAAGCTAAAAACAGGAGAGAGCAAAACAGCCCCCCCCATCATAAAAAGTACTAGGCCATAAACACTTCACAAAAACGACACAAGAGGGAGCTCTAGAGCCCAAACCAGAAAGCTACCTTGACCTACCCTCATTCCGGAAAGTTCAGGAAAAACCATTTCACATTAAAAATAACCGTCCGAAAAGGATAGTAATCAAACCCCCATGCAAAATTATATAAGGAAAAAAGGAGTATATGAAGCATGGTAAAAGCTTACAACAGAAACACACTAAAAAGACATGCCTTGCAAAAGCAAATGAAAACAACCCAGCATTTCAAAATGAGCTGAAAGAAATTAAGTGATAGAATATATGAAAGAACAACACAACTCAGAATTTAAAAGATTTATAAATGTGGTGATAAAACTGAGGAAAGAATCAGACATTTTTAAAGAAACGATTATTTCCAAAACGAAGCCTAAACCAGAGAGAATACAAGAACAAAGAAAGCAGATAATGCCTTCAGAGAAATGAAAGGATAAAGGGAGAGCTTAAAGAAAGAAAATAAGCGTGTGTCTCACTTAGAATGAAAATTTTAAGAAATTTAGCTACACTCTGTGTTTTTCTAAACACATTAAGTGGCTGTGACTTTTTGTTAAGTTATTACTGTTTTGGAGAACTGTCTTAAGGTTTTCTTTAGCTTTCTGCTGCTGCCCAGCAGGTTATAGTGGGCCTCAGGCCAATCCCAGTGGGCTCAGATCTTGCCTTTGAGTCTTACTTAACACATGAGGTTCTCAAAACATAAAAGCGACACTTAAGGTTTGGAGGGGAGTCTGTTCCAGTCCAGCAGAGGAGGCCTTAGCTTGAGCCTCCCTCCTGTTTGGCTTTCTCTGCTCAAGTCACTCTTGATACAACCCACCACATACACATGTTGTCACTGGCCATCATTGCCAGGTTCCCATCTATGCTGAAGGCACCTGTACTGGAAAAGACATAATTTAAAAAGAGTTTTTAAATTCTTAACAATGCTTTCTTTTTCTTTTATTGCTTGCAATGACCCCCAAATTCCTGGGCTCCAACAGTAACAGCAACATTGCCATCAAAATAGACAATTTGGACAGCTACAAGATACCCTCCCCAGTGGCATCTCCAGTCAACTTGAATATGCCCATGAGAGCCACCTTGAGCCATAGCCTCTGGGAACAAGAGAATCCAGATGAGCACTTCCTGCAAGCTCCTGTTGCCAGTTCCCTAGGAGAGAACCTTTTGGGACCCTGACACCTAGCCCAGAGTGATCTTCCCTAGCTTCATTCTGTGACCTTGCTACAACCTCCTATAATGCTGTTTTCCCACTGTGGGCCAAAGACCACGGGAGAGGTATGATGGTGTTTATAACAGAGTGCTTCTGTACTTCCACCAATAAACCTCCAAGTGAGTTCCTAATTGTTATAGGTTGTGCTCTGTGGGGCTTCCGGCTGGAGATGGACTAATTAGGAGCAGGAGCTCACCCCTTAGGGAAGTAAGTGGGGTAAATGTTCTGTCTACTCCTTTGAAACCCCAAAGCAGCCAAGAAAGCCCAGAAATCCAGTCCAGAGGAAACAGCCAGGGCAGAAACCCAAGGTCCTCTTTCAGAGGGGTGGGGGGAACCAGAGGCAGGACTGCTACCAGCCCAAAGGGAAAGAAATCTTGAGAACGATGCTGACCAACTGGAAGACAACTTTGTGTGGCCCCACTTACCTCAAGCAAGAAATTGAGTCTTTACCACCCCAATCCCCATGCTCGTGTAAAGTTGTGAAGGCTCACCCTGGGCCATGCAAACCTTGGTTGCTAATAAAGACATGGCTTCTGGTAAGGATGACGATGACCACCTGTCACTGGAAGGCCTACTTGACTTGACTCTTCCCACCCTGGACCTAATGAAAGCAACCTGGAAGACACAGTAACTCTGTGTGCGTATGAGGGGGGGAGCGGGAGCGTGGGCCAGCCTCTGGACCAATTACTTGGAAAATACTACCACAATACGCAGGAACTATTTATTAGGTTCCTGCTAGGTGTCAGACACTGCGCAGGATGCTGGGTAAATTCGAGAGAGGGAGAGAGACAGGTTACCTGACTTGAGGGAAGTTGTGGGAGAGATACTGAGCCCTGTTCTGGAGACACAAGAAAGCCATGAAGGTTGACATGGTGTTTGAACCACGGGTCTACAAATCAAGACTGGAAGCCCTTCTTTCCTAGAGTTCACATGAGAGGAAATAGAGTGACAGAGGGAGGAAGAACATGGCCGTCCTCCCCTTGTGCACACTCAGGTGGGCTGAGCGCTAAATCCTGGCCGGACCGGGTCAGAAATGACATGAGCTGAGCGGATGCTTGATGTTTGTGGGTTTCTTCTTGTCTCCAATAAAAATTAAAACAAAACACATTTCCTTCCAGCCTGTTACAGTCAAGCTGAGCATTGCTGGTGCTGGTGAGGGACATCGAGTAGCAGAACGTAGAGGCTGATGTGCAGGGTGACCTTCCTTGCTTCCCAATTTATGCCTCTGGTCCTAGGATCATTATCAATATGTACCCACGCCATTCTCAAAGTGTCCCTGCACGAATGGCCAACCACTCGACTGATAGGCGTGTTTACAAACATTTAGGGGATCGCCCACCCTCACTTCTATTGCCTTGGTTTACGACTCCATCCGCTCTCACCTAGATTACCGTAATAACCCCAGCTGGCCTCCCAAGCTCTCATCGTTATAACAACAGCAGCTAACTTCATTAGCAACTTACCATGTGCCAAACCCTATGCTAAGTCCTTACAAAGATCGCTTAATCCATACAACTCACCGGGAGGAGATCCTCTTGCTAGCACATTTATGTGAACGTGAGCCACACAGAGGTTCACCTAGCCCAGAGTGATCTTCCCTAGCAGCAGGGCCAGGACCTGAACCCAGTCTAACTCCAAAGTCCGATGGCTCTCTGATTTCGTTCCAATCCATTTCCCTTCTGCACTGCTAAAGAGCAATCTTTCTGAAATATAAATCTGACTACAGCTTCACCCTTGATAAAAACCAAACTCTTTGATAGGAAATGACCAGGCCTATTTCTCCAGCCACTCCACTTTCCAGAGGCTGCTTCCCTTGCACCTCATGTACCCACCACACGAAACGCCCCATGCGCTTCCGCTTCCGTACTGCAAGGGTGTGGCACGTCCTTCACTCGACGACGTACGTCTCCTTCCTTGCGCGTCTACCTGTTGCTCTCGCGATACTTGTTCTTCCCGCGGGAGCTCTGTGCTGCTGTTTACCCTGCGTGTGCTTGTTTCGAACCTTTCTCACACCGTTGCAGTTGTTTACGTGGCCATTGCCTTGGTGGGAGTAGGAGCTCTCGAAGAACAGATACTACTTTGTCTTAGAGTTCTTTACCCAAAAAAGGAGCTGACTCTAATTTAAACCAAAGGGAATTTATTGGAAGGGTGGGAGTTAGCTCACAGACTCAACGGACAGCTGAAGAGTGGAGGCAGAGCCAGAGCTGAATGTGTGGACGTCAGAAGAGCTTCGTGGATTCAGGTTAAGGGTGGCTAATCAAACATCTCATCCTATGCTGTAGCAGGCTGGGAGGTTCCTCAAGGGAAATGGAGGGGTGCCACAAAAGAACGGCTAGGAGAACGGATGTCTGGTGGCTGATAATAACAAATGTCCACCACAATGTGACTCTTTGCTCTTCAGAGAGGCGCTCTGTCACGGGCCTCAGGCATCTCCGCACATCCTTGCTAAGTAAGCCAGATTTCAAGGCCCAAGTGGGTAGTTCTGCTCACTTGCATGTTTCGGGAGAGGGATGAAGAGTTTAGACAAATTGCCTTATACTTTGTGTGTTGCTTTGAAACAGTTTTTTACTCAACAGTGTCTGAAGGATTCCATTCTGATGGGCAGACTATACAGTAGCATTTGGGGTTCCCTGTCGGTGTTAACTCAGAGTCAGTAGCCCATGGTCCCTGAAAGTTTCTGCATTTCCCTTTTAGGAGGGCGTAGTATCACTGTAAATGGCCTAAGGTCTCTCCGGGGATGCCTAGGAGGAACGCTCATGGTAGGTGGTTTATGGTGCTTGTAATAGGGTCCCTGGTTAGGGATCCCAGCCTTCCCTTCATTCAGGGAGCTGGGGTGTGAGCACCGGGTGAGGATTGAGGAGTGTGGGCAGCCCTGCTTCTCTAACTGTATCCATTAGAGCCGGCTTTCATTTGATGATACAAATGACCTGAGTCGTTGTCTCTCCATTTTATTCCTAGAGACCCTAACTCAGTTCTGATCTTTTAGTTGTCAACATACAACTCTCACTAGTTCAAGCATAAAAGGAACAGCTCAAAGGATATCCAGTAGCTGGAAAGGCGAGAGAGAAATGGCTTGAAGTCTTACACAGCCCGGACAAGAAGCAACAGCCCAGCCAGGAAGCAGGACCGCTCCAGCAAAGACCCCGTGCCCCACTGTTGCACGCACACTTCAGCTCCCACCAGTGGCCCTGGCCTGGAGTCTGTCGTCCCGGCCTTCTAAAATCAGATGCTTCTACTGCTAGCTGCCCCGCCCGGAGAAACATCTCTATGCAGCACTAGCTTCCTTATGTTGCTCACACCCAAGTCAAGGTCTCATGCAGGTGAGTCTGCTTGGCAGAATTCAGCTTACAGGATGCACGTGAGCTGAAAGGGAGGCTGAGAAAGTAACATCTGGCTTCTCGAGGAGGTGAAACTCAGGATGTGTAAATCCCCAAAAAGAAGTACAGGCAGCCAGAAGGCATGAAAAATGTCCCCAAATACCCTTGATTAATTAACTAAGGACACAGAATCTTGAAAGCTCAAACCATTCTCAGCTCTGATTATCATGCATAACTATGCTTCTGGTCCTTGAGTGCCCCCAGAATTCTCTTTTTTCCCAGAGATTACAGAGCCCATTCACTGGCTTAAAGAGAGCCTCTTAAACATTCTAGTGCTTTCTCAAAACCTTGGAGAGATGTGCAAGTATTCAGGACCTTCTAAAGGGGCAGTGTCAGGCAAGGGCAACAGTAGGTACTTGATGGATCCAAGTCAACTTTCTTGTCTCCCAAAGGCTTTGAATTCCTTTTTCTACATCGCTTCAAGGAATTTCTGGCCACTCATTGTTCTCTAATGTGAACCAGGTTGAATCCAGCTTTGCTGCAGCCAACACAGCAAACTGTAAGAAATATACAGCACTATGAGAAATAGCACAATTATGATGTAATCTCTGGTGAGAGCATCCACATCATTAAAATCAGCCCTCTCTAAAAGTATGCTCTCCCTTGGTGGAGTGCCTTAAAAGTTATTCTTATCAGTATTCACAGACTTTATAGACAGAAATTGCCCAATTCCTTCAATATGTTTTACTGGGCGAATACTTTCCCTATGCAGATTCCCATACTTAACCTACTCACACCCGCTGGGGCATCGTGGCAGTGAATTCTGGTTACTGGCCTAGTAACACGGAGGGGAATGTTCAGCACCCTCCTGCAAGGAGGGAAAGGCTTCCTCTCCCATGGGATGGGCAGTGGGGAGTGTTCAGAAGCACCCAAGGGGTTGGGTCTTTCGGGTCTTCTCTGCTATCGCTGTTGCAGTTGATGGAATCTCTCCTGTTACATTGTGCCTCTTTGACACAAGAGACTGGATGGAAGCTGTGACCTCGACAGCCTTCGTAATTCAATAACCGAGACCCAAATCTCAATGTTTTAACTTGTTTTTTGGGTTTTTTTTTTTAAGATTTTATTTATTTATTTGACAGAGAGCACAAGCAGGGGCAGCTGCAGGCAGAGGGAGAGGGAGAGGCAGGCTCCCCGCTGAGCAGGGAGCCGGATGCGGGCTCGATCCCAGGACCCTGCGATCATGACCTGAGGCGGAGGCAGACGCTTAATGACTGAGCCACCCAGGTGCCCCTAACTTTTGTTCTTTTTAAGTTATTCAGTGTCATCAGAAGCACCCATTTTTTTAATTAAGATTTTATTTATTTTTAAGAGAGAGAGAGAGATCATGAGTGGTGGGGGGGGGGCGGGGCAGAGAGAGAAGCAGACTCTCCGCTGAGCAGGGAGTCTGGGATGCAGGACTCCATTCCAGGACCCCGGGATCATGACCTGAGCAGAACTGACTGAGCCACCCAGGTGCCCCGAAGCCCCCATTGTGCTCCAGTGTCCTGGAATTCATTCCCTTTATATTGTCAGAGGCAGCAAGCACCTAGTTGCAGCAGATACCCTCTGTCATCAAATGGTCCTAATTACCACCGGCTGGTCATTTAATGAGCCGTGGACCACTGACAGTCAAGTTCTCACCCCAGCCTATGGATGGAATCTTGCTGCATTCAATGCCATCTTGTTGGGGTAATAAACTCCCTGGAAACCTATAACCTGCAATCCCCTCTCTGGTACCAGTCTGTATATTGGAGTTCTTCAGGTGCAAGCAAC